ACGGCGTCCCCATGGCCTTATGGTGCTCAGCCAAGGGGTCGGACAGCTTGCGGGTTAAGTGGTCGTATTACACCCGAGCCGTGGAACGCAGCAGAACTTTCCACATATGGCGACGAAAGGGGGACGATTTAGCTGTCTCTACGCGAAGATGTTAGGGGTCGTAAGGCCACTGTAAAGTTTGTTATAACGCCCGGTTATTGCGAGACCTAACGTCTCTAATTTCTTTTCTCCTCGAAATGAATTCGAGAAATGATTAATCCATGATTATTAAATTGCTTCAGATTAAAATGTTCAATTGATAGTGAAAATACAGAGGTGTGTTATTATGCAGTTAATTGAAACAGCCTTCCTTGTAAAAGCCATACATAAAGTCTGAATTAAAATAGAAAAGAAACATTTTTTAAATAATGATAAATATTAATAAATACATAAAAAAATATTATATAAAGAAATTTTCTAAAAGAATTAAAAAGCCGAGTCCGTAAGGATTTCTGCAAATGACCCATGACCTTCAACCGCAGTCTAACCTCAGGAGAAAAGGGAGTATATCCCCTGAACCCTCGCGTGTTTGCGTACTCCTCGAAGGAGGATAAACGGGAGGGTTAGTTCTTGACGCGAGCTGTAGTTCCGCCGTTCAGACAATCGGTTAAGAAAGGAGAAGAAGAGGAAGAAAAGAAGTGGGAATGCAGGCCGGATAGAGCTAGACTGGACGGCGCTAGTCTCGTCGCCCTGCGTGGTAAACAAAGCTGTAACTCTCCTCTCGTGGCGAAGAATCAATGCGCCCCCAAGCTTGGTACCGTGCCGTTGCTGGTGAGCTCCCGGAGGTACAAACTCGTGCAGGGCATTCGTCTTACTTCACTACTGCATGCATGTTGATACATTTCGGTTGCTTCGACGTATCATGCAACTCGTCATTCTTTTTCTTCTTCTTCTTCTTCTTCTTCTTCTTTCAGTTTCAATCAGTTGATCTATTTGTATATTGACGTAATTTGCATTTTCGATTCAGTCAATGCAAAATAGCTCGATAGATACATAAATCTAATTATCATTTAAGGAACTCAATTTATCTCAGTTATTAAAACTATTTTAATATCCTAAAAGTGGTCCGAACTGAACTGTTGCATTTTTTATTATTTAGTTAAAAACGGAATTCTAGAATAAGCGAATGTCGAAGTGACAAGCTCTCTTACTTAATAGTTTATTCAAGTATTCTGCCTGTTTTTGTAAATGACAGGTTCAATCTTATCATCAGGCTAATTTAAGAAAAAAGTGTGCAGAAAAGTACGTGAAATGCATTCTTGATGATCTTTTTCGAGCGAGTTTTACAGTAGAGCGTAAAGTGTTCAGACCGAAGGCAATGATTCATAACGGTAATTTTACAGCGCGAAATTAATGATTCATGGAAACTTAGACGAATTCGTGGCGTAATGCTTCCCGTGGACGAAATCTCTTTCCCAGACATCCGTCTCGCCTGACGCATAAAACATAAAAGTTGATGCTCTTTATACAAGCGGACAGAAAAGTATAAAACTGTAAGTCCCATTCTTCTTATAACAAAAACTTTATGATAATTATTCATTTCTTTATTTAAAGATTTCTCTTAAATTGTTCGCATTGAAAAGAAATAAAAACGTCGGTACTGTTGATCTATGAAAAAAATGCATAATAATTTCACGTACAGAAATTATATTTTTTCACCTAACATTTATCAAACGTGCATTACCAAAAATAACGATACAAAATTTTATAAATCGCTAGGATAAAAATCGGACCACGTGATTTGATTGTACATTTCGATACATGTACAAATTTCCGTTTTGTTTTCCAATCGATGGAGAGAATAGCAACATTCAGTTTAACAAGAACCCCTCCGGCGTTTTGGTCGTTTGAACGATGACGGCGGAGGTGAAAAGCACCGAGGGAGAACCTGTGGAACACTTGGCAGCGCACACAGAGGTCAATCGCTCGTGACGAAGGTTTTACAAGGCCGGGGAACGAGGGTCGGGGGTGCTAGACTGCTAGACTATCGCTACGACTACCGTCAAGCCTTCAAAGGTGGTTGACTAGGGCTCAAGGTTCCGCTCACGAATATACGAATCATATCTAATTTATGAGAAATGCTTCTAATACCTCTTTTGGAATATAAATTATGAGCGTCTATAACATTCATTTTACAAACAAGCCTTTGCTGCTTTCTTGGAGAACAGATTGAAAATGAATGGAAAACTGAACTATTTATATGTACAATAATAATTGATGAAATTATATGAAATAGTGTTGCTGGAAATATTTCCAACGATATAATTCAATTTTTTATATTCGATTTAAAATTTCCTTCTGATACTTCTATTTAAGTATAAAATAGAGCTGCACTTGTTAAGTTATCATTCCATAGAAATTTATTATTGTGCAACGTAATCTGTGTCCCGCATTGTGAGAATTCAGCAGAACTTGGTTGAAAGTTGGGAATCGTAACGCCAGGCTCTTTGTTTGCGTGCAGACGTAGCAACTTTTCGACGAAACACGCGGTTGTGAAATCGTAAACGATTGACGATTTCCTCAGGGTAGGAAAATAAGGAAATAGGAGCTCGATAGTTTTTCGATACATGCACTGGTTAGTTAATGAATTCCTTTATGAAAGAAAGTAATTCAAATATTTTCAATAATTTTACACAAACATTCCTTGATAAATAAGATGATTTTCTCCATTTTCTTTCCCTTCTTTTTGATTAAAAATCGATTGTTTCCATCAAAGCCCGTCGCGAATGCAAAGAGAAGTTGCTGGACGTGGAGGAAGATTACATCGACGTTAAATGCGACGTTAAATGCGACGTTAAACACCTGTTCCATCTTTCCTTTATCTCGTTCCTTTATCCCCGCTCGTAAACATCGACCGGTTAGCAAAGAATCGAGACTTATCGCATTGTGATAGTGTATTCCCGGAGCGAGAGAGACCAGGTTGGGGACCTGACCCAGACGGTGTACCAGAAGTTAACGCGTAACGTCGTGTACAACTCGCGAAAACGGGCATCCTTATTTCTCCAGGGACAGTTGTTGCCTTCACCAAGAGAGTGGCTCTCCCCGTTCATCCGTTTTCTTTTTTCCCCGCGCCTGTGTATCGATCAGCCCGCGAATCGGTCTCCTTGATCGGAATTGAATCAGTTTCTTACGCCATGCCAGCCCGACGATAAATGAATCCCATCAAATTCCAGAGAATTTTTAGATTGCAATAGCTTCCAGCGCTATTCTCTTGCGCTCTTCATGTTCCTCTCATCTCTCTCTTATTCCAAATTAGCTTGTAAGATGGACAGGATAATTTATTAAAGGAAAGGGTTAATAAATTGTACTTTCATAATTAAACATTGAGATTTACAAGGTGTTCTACAAGAAGTGTTGATTTTTGAATTTGTAACGAAAAATACTGACCAATGAAAGCACGTGTAGGACCCGCGCTCAGCGATGGAAATAGTAGCCCTACACGTGTTCTCATTAGTCAGTGTTCTTGGTTAATAATTTAAAAATCATACTTCACTTTGCATTTTTCCAAAGGAAATTGTTTTTCAGAATGGTCCCTTTTCGACTCTAATACTTTTTCTGAGACACCTTATATATTAAGGTGTTATGTAAATGTTAATGAAATGAAGCATAGCTTATTAGTTTGCTATTTCCAATTTCGACCAACGAACAGTTATAGCACAGTTTACAAAGAGCAAGGTAGAGATCAATTAACAGTAATTGGGATTGATGTGCTCGGATGAAGGGTCGGTAGTCTGGAAATTCCTAACTGTTGGGATAGTTTCGTCTATGTTCTTGTGCATTATTGAAACACAGTCCTATTCTCGTTCATCCAAGAATACTATGGAAACGATAAAATGAATTTTGATTATATTAACCCGACGACGAATTATTTATTGTTACTCATTAGTAGAGTGTCAAACAGTTAGCCGGTCGGGGGATCAATTAAGCGCCTAGTTATTAGAACATCTTGGGTTGATTATTAATTAGTCGGTCAGCTTTGGAGCAGTTAGCTCATTCAATATTACAAGTTTGTACTAATTAACTGCGGTATATACGTGCAATGTTTGACTTGGCGGTTCATATTTTATCTGCAATTACGTTTATTTATAATACAATTATTATATTCATCTATTAAATTGTTTTCGAAATGTTATTTTCTGCTTGTTTCCTTCTTCACTATAAATTTATTTCCTAACGCCAGAGTATCTACGGCAACATATTTTCACTGCTGAGCTGAGAACCCGTTTGTCCGATTGTCCGGTATAATAGAAAACTTTTCCCGTAAAATAGCGTCCACGTATGTGGTATATATGTATATAGTTATATACATTGTCACGCTCCCGTTCTCTCAGATATGTATATGCGTAAAGAGGACTCTGTTCGCAATTCCCGGAGCGATTCATCCACCGATGAATATCCATAACCTTGGCGTATCCGTAGATCAGTCGGTCCCTTGAAAGCGCCGTAGATCATTCACCCGGGATGCTGGGGATTCCACGTTTGCTTCCCGGTTCTCAACGGCTAGAATCCTGCAGGTTTATCCAGTTCGGAGCGATTAGATTCCCCATTTAAACGCGTCTCTCGCTATTTCCCACGTTCAATTTTCACTCTCTTTACTTTTTTTTCTCTTAACGTTTCCTGGGAAATGTTCTTTGTAAACGCGACTGTTAGGAGATCGCTAGAAGACCCTGATTGACAAATTATATATTCCGCGGAAATACATTTTGCAAATAAGTATCGATGTCGTATATCATTTAAATATTGGAAAATGGTAAACAGGAGCATAATGCGGAGGTAGCATTTGGTTGATAATTCTCTGTTTACGCGAGGCATCGCTACTTGGACAAACGAGCCCAGTGATATTAACGGTACGAGGGAATGCGACGTTTCGATAGTGATTGCGATTTTATGGTAATCGATGCCCGGTCGTAAATCGTGTTTATGGCGGGACAGGTAACGGGATACGATGCGTTTCGTTTCAGGTGGCCTGGATGCTTTTCGACAAGAGCGCGATCCTGACAGTACAAAATCACGTTATTACCAGGAACCCGAGGATATCCGTGTCACACGATAAGCACAGGACCTGGATCCTACATATCAAAGAGGTGCAGGAGGACGACAAGGGAAAGTACATGTGTCAAATTAATACAGCGACTGCCAAAACGCAGTACGGATACCTCGACGTCGTCGGTGAGTGGATTTTCAATTATGCTTTATGTTCCTCTCGACGTGTAATATTCAGATCTTTGCCAAAAAATTTGAACTATGAATTCCACGATAAAGGCCAATTTTGTTTCATCTTCCTTTTTGTTTAGTAATTGTTTTATTAGCTATTAAGTGATTTGATAATATTCATTAATATCTTTATTTAATTAAACATGCGATTAAGGAATTATTGTTAGGATAATGAATTTTGGGTTACAAACCTCGTCAGTGAATATAGGAAGTTAAACTGAGAGAAATGGCGTTCCGTTCATTTCGATATCTCTATCCGTTCCGGAGATATAGGCTTCCTAAGTTTCGCTGTTTTCACGCTGCGCCTGTGGGGATCCCCGCGCGGAATTCCAAAGGGTTATTTTTCCAGAAGCGCGTAGCAGGTGTCTAGACGGATGAGAGAAAACTGGGTCAAGGGGCGAGAGAGAGATTCGAGTTTGAGAAGCGAGAATAGAAGGATAGCGAGAAAAAATTATGCTTGTCTTCACGCGACTATATCTCAGGATCCCGAAATCGGATCGGGATAAACCAAACGGCATTTTAAAATTCAACGTTTTTTGCTTCTAATCGCACCAGTTT